GTAGCCACCATCACCAAATTTGAGATGCTTCTTCATTTACTATTTCCGGAAATAAATCCTCGTTTATTGATTTTTGAACTAATTCTAATGGATCCATAACGAGCATTGAGTTTGGGAGGCATTCCACGATTCCGGGTTTGTTGCATGATGCTGAGTAATGTCCATTTTTTTTTCTTTCCTTTAATAAAGTGTGACCATAAATCAGACATAGGACGCCCTGTAACTATTTCTTGGTTATCGTTAAACAAGTTTCCAGATGCATTATCTAAATTTAATGTTTGTAATATGATGATGATGATTGAGAAGGAATTGATGGATTAGAATTTGACATGATGAATTTTTTTTGTTCAATTTACCTCTTGAACCATGTAAATGTAAATAATTTAAAATTCACAAAATAATTGGTTTTTATTTTAATCACAATCATGTTTATTTCGGCATTTTTGTCAAATTCCTTAAAGTGTAAAAACCCTATTTTTTTGTTTTGTAGTAGATTTTGATAACATCGCATGGATAAGATTTTCTAAAAGACAAGCATCTCGTATTAACAATGATCGTTAATTTAAATTTGATAATGGTGTCTATAATTCAATTAAGATTGTTATGGTTAAATTGAATAAAGAATACAATAATGATAGGATGTCTTGTCTATTATCAATTTGGAACTTAGCATTAATCTTGAGATTTATTAAAAGCTGGTAATTTTTTAATTTAGAATATTATATATGATGTTTTAATAAAAATTTAGTCAATGGTAATACAACTTTTTTGTGTTGATAGTTTGTCGATCATTGCTCACATATCACGAATCAAAAACTTTTTTGATTCTCTAGAAATTATTATAAGAAATATATATATTATATACAAAATAAATTTCTAATCAATCTTTAAAGTTTTGATTAAATATTTTTTTCCATATAACACACCAACAATACTGATTATTGTAATTGTGATACCAAATATCAATTCAAAAATTTGTAAGTTAGTTGAGGAAACAATAAATAATCTTAAAGATGGATCGTCCCATCTAACAAAGAATTATATTATTATAAGTAAGTATATATATATATATTCAATAATAATAAATTAAAAATACTTACACACTCTCAACCCAAGTTGGTTTACTAGGGTCCAACACAATTATTTGGCCTTTCTCATTAAATTCTAATCCAGTCCCATATGAATGATGGTATCTTGTAAATGATTTAACACATTCATTGTTTATACAATAATCATCTTGCTGGATGTAAATAAATTAAAAGAAAATTAGTATAACATACACACACACACATATATATATTATTATGATTTTACCCTCCCAACAAATGTTACCTGACAATCATCTACAGATTCACACTTTCCATATTTTTGTATGGCAGTTATATTTGCCATAAATCTTGATGTAAATGCTGAAATAAACTTTTCGCCATAATTAAAAACTCCTGAATAATGAGATACTCTTTGAATATCTGTAACTATTAAAAAATTAATATAGATAACAAGTGTTAATAATAATATTACTAATTATTAATATTTACTAAAAAAGGAAACATTTTTTTTACTATTAAAAAGTCTATTTGTTAATGGACATGAATAATTAAACGTTAAACAATCTAACAATTCATCTATCATACTACAATTCACTGATATAGGTACAGATGATAACTTTGTATCATCCAATAGTAATCCTTGTGCATGCAACCATACTGCTTGTGCTGTAGCATTAGATATGGTGCATATTGAATTGCTTATTGAAACGAAATCATTATTAACATCATCAAATTCACTATTATAATAACTAATAAAGCAAGAAAAAATTATTAATGTGGATTAGTTAGATTAAATTTTTTTGTAATTAAATGAAAATAAATAATAATACCATCGAATGTAATAAGATTTGTTTGAAAGGTGGTTCACCAGAAAAATATGTACATAACATAGTCATACGAGATATCCAAAAAAACAATATATCAAAACCTGATTCTATCATGGAGTTAGGATAATTGTACTATATAAACTTTTCAATTAATTAATATAAACAAACAGATTGATAATTATCTAGCAATTATAGTAATATGAATAATATATAATAAATACGGGTATTTTATCATCTCCTGCCCAATGTAAAGCTGTTAATGGTAATAAAGCGGAAGAAAACCAAGTATCTAAAACATCTTCGTCCTATTATAACGAATGATGTTGATTTACAATTTTCTCATAATAACATAAGAAGAAATGAAATAAATTTATTTATTACATACTTGCACTAATGTATAAGTTAAAGCCTCGATATTGATTTCTTTTAAATATTTCTCAAAATGTTTTTCAGCTTCAGCCTTGGATGTCGCAGCAAGTTGTAACTCATGGTCTGAATTTATTTATATGACAATGTAATAATTATAAATAAAAATGACACGTAAATAAAAAATTTTAGTTATAAAATAATATAAAGTATTTAGCTCACGTCCAGTAATTTGATTATAAAATGTTAAATGATATACAGGTATAGGATGTCCCCACCATAATTGTCTTGAAACACACCAATCTTGAATGTTTTCTAATATTTTTTAAAAAAAAACAAAAGTAAAATTATAAATATCATTCCATTATTTAAATGAGAACAAACCAAAGTCTTACCCATCCAACGATTCCATTCTTCAATATGATGACCAGGTTTAATCATGATATTTCCTTCTTTTACATCTTTTAATGCTCTAGTTGCTAAATCTCTACATTTAATATACCATTGTGGTTGTAACATTGGCTCAATTATGTCACCAGATCTTGAACATCTAGCAATTCTCATTTCATGATTTAATTCTTTTCCACGATAATATCCTTGATCCTCCAGCATTTTTATAATAATTTCACGAACTTTAAAACGATCTTTACCCTATAAAATATAAAGCATTTTAAATTTTAAAACTGACTGCGTATAAAGATGAATCAAAATACGTTCATTAGTTATCGACATTTAAATGATTAATCCTTTTTTTTTACTCACAACAAAATTAGTAATTCCGCAATTATCATTTAATGTTCCATTCTTATTGAAAATATTAATAATAGGTAGCTTATTTCTTTTTGCACATAAAAAATCATTGCGATCATGAGCAGGTGTTACCTAAAAATGTTCAAATAGGCTATATATATATATTAAAATTAAAAGAACAGTAAATACCTATACATGTATAAAAACGGAAATACCTTTACAACCCCAGTTCCAAATTCCATATTTACCAATTCAGAGTCATATATAATAGGTAGTCTTTTATTTAACAATGGATGAATGACTTCTTTTCCATGTAGTATCTAGATAAATTAATTGTTATAAACATAATATCATAAATTTTTATTATCTAATTTAGAGAAACAAAATTCCTTTTAAAATTTAGACTCAAACTTTATATCTTGGATCGTCAGGATGTATTGCAATTGCAATATCACCCAATATTGTTTCTACTCTGGTAGTTGTCACAATCAATTCCTTAATTCCACCAAAAGAATCAGCAACGGGATAAGCGAATTTATGCAATACTCCAAATTCAACACTATATTTTTCAAAAAAGAAATTAAAAATTAATTTGTGATTATATTTTTTTGAATAAATTTTTTATTTAATTGCCTCTCGTTTTCTCCAGGAAGATTTAAAAAAGTTTGTCCCGAAATAGTTTCATATTCTACCTTTGCAACAAATATAATAATTTTTTTAATAGAATAATAACTCATAATTAATTCAATGGATTAGCTAACCAGTTTTCAAATATGTATAACTTATCATACTTCAATATCTGATATAACAGTTTCTAAAGCACAACACCAATTGACTAGACGATTATCTCTATAAATTAATCCATCGTTATAAAGTTTGATAAAAGCTTTTTTTACAGCTTGTGATCTAGTTTCATCCATTGTAAAATATAAATTATTCCAATCCAATGAAGATCCTAATCGTTTCTTGTTTATTTATATATTTATAATCAAATTGATATAAAATCAACTTAATATCTATACAATTATTATAGAAAAATTATTTTTACCATTTGTTGGATTATCTGATTGCCATGAAGTTCACGCCATTTCCATATTTCCTTAATAAATTCATCTTTACCAAGTTGATGACGTGTAATCTATATATTCAAAACTTTTTTCAAAAATTTTCCTTTTTTGGAGAAAAATTCATTCGCCAAAAAATATCAAGCACATTTATTTTTAAGCAATTTACTTTATTTTCACTATAAAGCTTCCGTTCAACAACAGATTGCGTTGCTATTCCTGCATGATCTGTTCCAGGGATCCATGATACTTGATATCCAGACATTCTATACCATCTAGCAATGGCATCTTGTATACTAAGAGTCAATGCATGTCCAATATGTAAATTTCCCGTTACATTTGGGGGTGGTGCCAACATAACAAATCTTTTAGATGGATCATCAACTTCTTGATTTGATGAGAAAAAGCCTATAGATAGATAGATAAATTAATTGATCATAGTTGATTATATAACCCAAAGAAATTTTGAGAATTTTCTACCTTTACTTTCCCACCATTCATACCATCCTTCCTCAACAATAGCCTTAAATTAAGAAGAAAAGATTTTATTTACATATATTTACTGTATTCATATATGGATAATCTAAATTATGTACGTTATATATTGTTAATACTTTACTGGATCATAATTTTTAGATAAGTTACGTGAAGGTTTTTTTATGATGACATTATTAAAACTTTTGCTAGAAAAGCCTTTTTTTTTTGAATAATTATGATAATTTAATAAATTGTTGAAAATTTTTGATTTTTTCGCAAACAATAACATATTAATAATAATATCCAAGGTTTTTTTGATTATCTGTTATCGTGAAATTTGTGTCACAAATGTCTCGAAATATTAATATCAAAAATCTAAACTTAAGATTAAAGTTAACAGGCGTAAGATTAAATATGCGATCCGTGGATGATTAATTCACTCAATCCGACGTGTGTATTTTTTGAGAAACTACTGGATGACGGATTAATTTTTAGAGGATAGGTAATAGTAATAGTAATAGTAATAGTAAATGGCAGGCGAACGGATAATGAGGATGAGTGCGGCGGGGCGTCACATTATACAAATATTGGCCAATAAAAATCGACGAAGCTTTGTGAAAATTCGTGCAGCTATTTAATAAAAATTGGCTTATACATGGTTAGAAACTGAAGTAATTAATATTAATGAAAATATATATCTTTTTTTGAAATTTGTAAAAATATATGGAAAATTTAAAATCAATAATAAATATTTATTATATGTAAGTAAATCTTTATAGTTGTTGGTAGTAGTAATAGCAAAAATGATACAGTAGAAGGTAATCAAAAGATTTTTTTTTTGTAAAATAAACATTTAATTACATGTGTATAATATGTGTAGTAGGAATTGTTGGTGACATTGGTGGAATTGATGAAAATAGTAGCGATTCAGGTATTTCTATTTTTTGTAGGATTTTTAATCTAAAATTAAAAGTTAATATGGGACATACTGCAACAAAACCAGACAAAGTGAACATTGGTATTACAAGAATTTCAGGGATCAAAATTTAGTCGATTACAATTAACTGTTTTATAATATCCCATTTTATCTTAAGTGATATATAGAATTGTCCCTATTACTATATATGAAATTAATTTGTGTCAGATCCACTATGGAACCCAAAAATTACAGCACCATTAGAAATATTTTGAAAAAAGAACAAGGTGAAAAAATTGCTCCTTACATTTTCAAAATAAATGATACTCAGACCAAGGTTGAGTCCCCTTTTTCGTCACATGACGAAAATAAATGTGACGAAATAGGATTTCCAACATTTTGAGGAATTTGACGAAAGTAATGAAAATTATTTAAATTATTTGCATTTTCGGTCAAGGAGTAATTTTAAAAAAATAAAATTCATGATGACAAATCCTAATTCACCCAATTCACCAATCCCTTATCAATCATCATCATATAATATGAATTTGCAAACATTAAAATTAGATAATATATCAGAAAATTCATTTAACAATAATCAAGAATTAGCTACATGGCATCCTGTGTTTGATGTATGATTATAGTAAATGAAGATTCCATTTATAAATTTGGAATGATGTTGTGAAGGTAATGAATGAAGTCTCTCTAAACAACATGTAATTGTTTCTTATATTGATTTATATTATTAACAGATAACATACCAGTACATGCCTTTAAAAGAGAAATTAAGAACTGTTCAAAATTTTGTTTAATAAAGAGTGAACAAGATGAAATATTTATAGAGTCTGATTGTTAGTCACTACTGGTGATTTATCTATTGAAGACATTATAACTAAACCAGAATTTTCATTTAAACCAAACCAACGTCAGGAAATTAATTTAGCGTAAACTTGCATAAATCTTACGATGCCAACGTAATATTGTGTAAATCTTACAGTGCCGATGTAAGTTTTACACTTTTTTATTATTAAACTTACAATTGACATGTGTAAAATTTTTTTATATTTTCCGGATGAAATATTATTAACAGAATCATTTTTAACCAATACACTTCCAAATACTATAGGCAACATTTTACCAATCATTATTACATAGACAAAATTCTGTTATATGTCAAATGATAGAGTTAATCCCTACTAAATTTCTTGAACCATTTTCTGAAAAAGACTTGACCACAGTATTGCAAACACATTTTAATGAATCTGTGTTGAAACATTAAAAGTTGTTGATGTGATCAACAAGTATTCCAATCTACAAAACTTTCAGCTAATGTTGACTTTTGTAATATTGAAAATGATGAGGAGGCAGCTGGTCTTTTACTTTTGGATGTTAGATTTCATGATTCAATAAATACCAAATTTGAAATTGATTGATAAAAAAATTCAAATGGTTGTAAATGGCAAGTAGAGTGATGCAATTCTTTTCTATGATAAAGGTAAAATGATAATGGTTAGTAAGGATTTTATGGATCGAATTTTGATTTATTGATTTATTAATTTATTAATTCATTAATTCATTAATTCATTCATTCATTAATTCATTCATTTAAAAAGATCTAGTTTGGATTCCATCTAAAAAAATAATCATCATGCATTTAAAGCTCATAAAAAATTCTATCAAAATTTGAATTAAATTATTCCAACATATAAAACCTATGTTGAAAACAATTTGATGAAGGATATCTAAAAAGAAAATGGTTGGAAGTGTTGAAAGAATGAACAATAAAAAGTTAAAACAAATTCTTGAGTTTTTTTTCCTTAATAAATATATATATTATTTTAGCTTTAATACTTTAATACTATCTATATTATTAATATTATCAATATTTCAATATGGATTCCTTTCAAGATTTACTTGAAATAATATTACTACTAGTATTAGTTTGCAAATCTTTTCTCATAGCATATGCATCTTCTCTATCTGCATAATACTTCTTTCTACTTCATGAATCCTACCAATCAAAAAAAACCAATTAAAATCACTTTTTTATGAATTAAAATATTGCTAAATAAAACAAATAAAAATATCATACTCAAATTTTAATGTATCTTTATACAAATTTAGAGCTGCTCGATTACTTTTTCTTACATGTAATGAAACATACTGTGCATTAAAAACCTCCACCATATTTTTTTCTTTTAAATAAAAAAATTGTTAATATAAATATTTTATTATTATAATAAAATAAATTAAAAATTACGAGCTTGTGTCATTAATTTTTCTGCAATTCCTAATCTTCTATATGTTCTCATGACTGAAAGTGAAGTTATATGACCATGAGGTGGTAGTTCCTCTGGGTCTTCTTCCCTATTTATAATGATCATTGTATATATATATATTATTAAAACTTATTTTATCCTGCTGCTTCTTATATCAACCAGAAATAATAATAATAATTACATCTTTGCTAGTACATAACCTACTATTCTTCCTTTATGATCTTCTGCCACAAATGAAAGTTGTGGCCAAGATAATGCATGATAAAATCTATAAAGGCATATATTTATATATTTATTGTACATATATATTTCAAACAATTGATTCTTCAAAATAACTTACAATATTTCATTTGATAATTTTCAGGAAGATTCATAATATTACAATTTTGCATTGTAAGCAAATCCTCCACCTTTATTATATATACATTATTGTTATTATTAATTCAATCGATTGACATCATTATTATGGTAAAAATTAAAGTAAAATACCATTGCTTGTCTTATATTCATTTTGTATAAAAATTTTATGATTATCATTAGTGTGACCTTTGTTTTAAATGATTTTCATTAGGGTGCTCTCTTCGTTATGTAATCTAGGGGCGTCAAAAAGCTACAGAAAAGTTGGGTCCCCATCGAATTTGTATGTGATATAATAATGTCAAAGCATGCTTCTACTTGTAATTTAACATGTATTTCATGAAAATACTATATATAAATGTCATTTTTTAATAGAATGATAGACCATATCCAACTATCTGCAATTATATGAGTGGTGCTTCTATTGCAGTCATGGGATCTAGAGATATAATATTTCTTTGCGGAGCACGTTGTTGCATTGGTTAATTGATCTACAAAAGGCTGTCAAGGAAAAGGATTTTTGGAGGAAGAAAGTTCGGGTTTTGAACAGAGTGAAGTGCAGTTTCAAAAATCTACTATTGGGTAGTAGAGGGTGTCATCGCAGTAATAGGAGATAAAATTATATTATATACATTATGTATAATCTTATTAATAAATTTTTGCATTATTATAAATAAAATATCCTCTTAGTACATCAAGTTTATATACCATTAAAATTTGAATTTCAATTTGCACAAATTATCAACAAATGTCTTTAACATTTCTTATATGCATTCTATATAGTCTATTTATATCAAGGTAACTAATTGAATTATTGAGATATCTTGCAATCAATTTTGTTTCTTTGGAGATTCCAAAGTTAACTTTTCTAGTCTTTCCAACTATTATTGTTCCTACGACAAAGATTATTCCAATCGCATAACTAGAGTATATCAATGTTAATATATACCCATATATTTTAACTTCATTTTCAAGTTCAGTTTATATTGGTCACATGATATTCATTTAATAAAAATGCGTAAAACTTTTCAACAACTTTCTCAACAGGTGCTGTACTAATAATTACCAATGCTAATGACAATAATGCAACGACAACAAACACAATATCTTCCTACTACTAATTAATATTAAGATTCAAGAAAATCAAAAATTTATTAAAGATGAAGAATAATATTTTGATCAATCAGCTTTACAAATTCAACAGTTAAATGAAGGATGTGAAGGTATTTACAACATACATATTATATGCATGTATGTTTTTATATAAACATATAATATTCATTATTATTAGTTGCTAGTGTGCTTCTTATTTTGCAGAATGTATTCAACTTTGTTCAATCTGGTAAAACTGTTTTCTGATTACAATATTATGAAAAAAAAATTTTCCAATAAGAAAATATTACAGCTCAAAATTATTCAAAGATCGCATTAAAGAAACCTGATTCTTCTAATACTCTCACAATGGCATTTCTAATGTATAATTCTATTTGTATTCAAATGTTGCTGATATAAGGATGAAATAAACATATATAAAAGTAATGAAAGGAGAACTTGATAATGATTTGAGAATCCATCTATGAATGAGAGAACTTGCTGCAGAAAGAGCAATTGTAACATCCCCCAAAGTAAATAATTTTTTTTTTGAATACAATCAAAGAAAAACAACCATATATTGATAATCTTTGTTTTTTCCTATCCGCAAACATAAAAAATAAGTGACGTAGCAGGGCAAAAGTATAGTACAACTTTTCATGTAAAGGTGACAGTTGGCTATTTGTGGCAATTTTCCTCTGCTGATTACAGTTCACTTTCTATAGTGGCACTTCTGTTTCAACAAAAAAATTCATTATAGAAGGAGACCATTATAGGCGGTATATGAGATAATTTTAATAGGCCTAAGTTCTCAGTTTGTTATAAAGTGAAACTGTTATAGAAAGAGCCATTACAACTAGCTGTACTATGAGATATGTCAACCATCTTGCAATCAAAATCTCAATTAAGTAAAAATCTATTTACTTTTTTACTTTTACTGATTTACATCTTATTCATAAAATTTTTTCTAAAATCTTTTTAGTCGATAATCATTGACTTGGTTCTTTGAACCATTCTTCCAATTCAAATATATATATAGTTGGCATTAAATGATTATATTTGATGTTTTTTATGAAAGATTTAACTTTAGACATTTAGCAATACATTTAATTCCAATATGTTTATCACTTCTAATGGATATTTCTATTCCAACCACTATGGAATGATCATAGGAATCTTCCATATATCTTCAAAGTTTTTACAATCGCCATCTTTTTGCCTGCGTATTTACCAGACAATGAATGCTATTTCAACTTTAAGAATTTTACCATCTTTAAATTTGATTGGTCATGGTAATAAAATAATGTAAAGAAAAAAATTAGATTCATTTTTATTTCTTATAAAATTTATCAAACTTCCAATGTATCTGTCTAGAAAATTGCATAAATTATTACATTTTAACAACATCAATGAAAAAATATTTTAAATGACACATCCTAAATGATTGTGTCACATGTTTTCTTTGAAGAAATTTCATCAAAAGTTGTTTATTTAGATCAACCAATTTTTGGGATTCTTACAACATAGAATTAGACAAAATATTAAGCAAAATAAATCTTTTCTTTGATCTATTTATTTTCTTCTTTTTTACCATCTGATTTTATAAAGATCACATACACACATATATATACAGAATAGAGCTTAACTTAATAATTAATTCCAATGCAAGCTCATTTCACAGCATCTCTGTCTCAGCAGGTAAAATTAAACTTCAATTGCCTCCTGTTTGACATAAAAAAAAAACTAAAGTTTGGCACTCTGTATTACTTAGTTAAATGCTTTATTATCTGAAGCTTCTCTGATACTTCAATCTGTAAAAGTTACTCCATCAACAGTCTCCTCAAAAAATAAACCAGCTCCTTCAACATCATTTCTTCAAAGATCTGTGTTGCAGGTTAATATATTTTTTAAATTATTTCTAGAAAAAATAATATCATGTTTTTTTAATTAACGTACTTTAATTTTTAAAAAAAGGTACGCGATCTTCCTGAATGTTTAAGAGAGAGCCAGAATCTTCAATCTTTATCAACAGAAGCTCTAGCATATTCTATATCGACTCTAAAAAAACTTCCATCATGTCAAACCCCTCAAGCTCAAACTTTATTATCTCAATTTTCGGGTCTATATAATATTCTTTCGTCGTTTATTTTTTTATTAAAAAAAAAATCTTGATATTAATACATATGCCCACATCTTTTTTTAGGGGAGTTATCTAATTTGTCACCATTTAATACTTTTAGATTATCAAGAGCAACGTATAGTTCAAGGATGTTATTATTTAATCCAACAAATAAACAAGGTATATTGAAATTTATACGTGATCGAATAGAATGATAATAAACTTGTTAAAAAACATTTATATATAAGTAAGAATAAGATAAATAGAAGAAATATATAATAATTTTATAACTTATATATTTATATTTTGACTAACTTACTTTAGGATTCTCAATTCAAAATTTTCTAAATAGTCGTCGATTTTTTGGATCAAATTCTTCTGCTATCCGATATATTAATCAGCGAAGATTACAACTAATAGAAACTGAAGCTAATGCATCCCCCAATGATTCAGCAAAACAAGCAGAATTTTATAAAGTAATTAATTCATTACAGATATATAAGCTATATCTATTTTTTGGAATCAAAAATGTAATTTATTGTTATTATTATTATTATTATTTTAGGAATTATTAAAGGCAAATCAT